TTATACTCATCTTATTTTAGCACCTATGTCCCTCGGCATGGCTCCATGTCCTTCTATTCCATCATCAGCGCAAGAGGAGAACCTAACGCTCAGCAAGTGCCCGGCACACATTACTCCTTCCCCATAGGAAAGCAGTGAATCAAATCTTTCTTATGTTTTATTTGACGACACTGACGTGAGGACGTCCATCGTCATTTCATGGAGTCAAAGACTTTCGTGACATTTACACTGTATTTCGCACTGTTTTATTTATTTTTTAATTTTAGTTTGCCCTTTTGCAGAAGATACAGAACAGTTACTCTCCTAGTCCTTTTTTTTTTTTTATATATAACTGAGCTGGTTTTGTAAGTATGCATCACAGTTTAACTTTGATTTTTCTCACCCAAATGTAACAATTACTCATGTTTTAGATCTTTTTACAAACCTCAGACCTTAAAGGGAACTTTTTCCCTTTAAGTTTTCCAGAGGGAAATTACAATCTAACACTGTTTTGCATAATTGCTTCTATCAAAGCGTGCTTCTTGATAACCGTTTTTGCATGCAGTTGCACCCCCTGTGAAATATAAAAAATACGTCTTTGATAGAAAGTTGCTAGTAAAGGCCGTCATATTTTCCTAACTGACATAGGCGCTGCTAGGGGGGCTTTGGGGGCTGAATTTCCGAATGGGGGCTCTTTAACCCCGGATACCTGGAATTGTTGTAAAGATTGCATAAAATTTAACCTGTGCTTGTTTCCAATTATACTATCATTGACATCACAGAGAGAACGAGCACCATGCTGTTCATGGGTAGAGAGGAAGGGGCATGACAAAAAAGGGAGGAATATCACGACATATTTCCACCTTTCTGCTAGTGCAGGGATCATTGAGTTTTCTTTTGGGCTCAAGCCCTAAATGTTTCTGGAACATGATAAAGCCTCTGCAAATAGCTGACATTCTTTGAGGCCATTTTGGATGATAATCTTGTGTCGTTACATATATAGGTATTGCAATTGGATCAACAACAAGTATATATTACGTTATATGTTATCACAAACAATTTCTCATTTCAAGCTAAAAAAAAAATAACAGTCAAGCTAACTCAGCTGTTGCATACTAGGGAACAACATGGCTTCTTTCAGAATTCTCTTTTTTTTCATTTATACCATTCGTGTAAAACAGATGAATGCAAGAGCAACTACAAAGGTACCAGACGTTAACTATGCATGTATTATTTTATATTCTACGTTTGAATTAATATTGATATTCCCAATAAAGGCTTGCAGTTAACCTTTAAAATATAAAAACTATCCAAGCATACTCTGGGTCTCTAGCAAAGCAGGTTTTTTTTTTCTTTCTGGTGCATCGACCTCTGTAATAACATATTCCTTGTGATTTTTTCTATTTTATTTCATTTTCTTTTTGTGCGTTGAGAGCAGTGTTTCTAAATCTTCAGTCTTCAGTGTGTGGTATGGTGCAGATTTAATTATCGAACTGTCAAATGTAACTTGCTTTCCTTTAAATAGTTAAAGAGAATAATAAATACATTTATATTATTTCCATGTGAACCAGGTTTAGGATGTTTAGATTGAACTTGATGGACTTAAGTCTTTTTTTCAGCCTATGGAACTATGCGAGATGAACGTTTGGTGATCTGACCATTTAGAAGTGTGGAGGTGGCCATCTTGGAATTGTATCACGAATTCCAAGGCAGTTTTGACACTTACTGGCAAAAAAAGGCTACAGCCAATCAGAATCTGGAAATGGTACTTGGAACTCTGTCCCAAACATGCGCAAGGTTACCTGGAAATCTTGTTTTATTTTCATACAAAACTGCTAAAAAAAGATTAAACATAATCACAAGAATCCAGAGACCTGCTACACATTTTCTGCAGAAGATGCACATACTATTCACAAGTGAGCATCTCATTTTTATTATTAATAATATTTAGTGTTGTGTTATTTTTCTTTTGTTTTGTCCTGCCTTACCTACATGATGCTTGGTAAGAGGATTGTCATCACCAGCGAGTAATGTCCCTTTAAGTTTGTCTACATAAAGCCTATAGTGTGCCATCAGATTAAATGCATAAAATGATCAAAGCTAAAAGTGATACTACATAGCCAAATAAAATAAATAAATATATATACATGTTTACATGCATATATTTCTGAAGGAACTAGTCTCCCTTTTATCTTGCAGGATTTATTACAGAAGAGCACCATAAGGTTATGTCTAGAACTGAGATCCAAGACATGGGTGTATTTATATTGCAGCATAAAAGCAATATTATCTATTCCACTTATGTCTGAATGGAATTAATGCATTCTGCTCGGAGCAGAACAATCATTATTATTATGAATTAAACATTAAGTGTCCAATTTTCAACTGACAAAAGAATGATAAACAAAGGATAATCATCTGGATAAGTCAAGTGTTCCCTATCTGTCCATATATACTGTTATTAGAACAAAATAATGTTCTTAAATCTTAGCTTGACTGCTCATTTTGTCCCCATTCATGGTGCTGTAACACCTGGCTAGTATTAGATAATGATCCTCGTAAACTACTTAGTAGTCAGCATCAGTCAAGTACCTTAATAGTTGTTGTTGAGTGTTCATTGAACAAAGCCTTTTAATTTGCCAAATTTTTCAATATCCGTGATCCAACACTTGTAAAATATTTTGTTCAACAAAAGTAAGAGGAACTGCCATCTAAGCAAGCAAAGGTAGGCAAACTTCGGCACTCCAAAAGTTGTGGACTACCTCTCCCATAATGCACTTACAACTATAATGCTGCCAAAGCATCAGGGGAGGTTTCCACAAGATCTGGAGTGACAAAGGATGCCAACACCTGATCTAAAGCCTTTGCATTGTCAACCATACAAAAATAGTCTGCTGAAATATCCATGACTAAATTTAAGGCCAGATTAGCTGAAATGAAAGCCTAGCTGGTTTAGAGAAAGGGTTCAGTTCTGTTATTTTGAACTTAAATTTGAAATTCACTTTGAGTTCACCTTGAATTCTCACTTTGGTTAATAACCCTATAACAGTAAATTGTCACCTTCAAGGGGATTTCTAAAAGGTGCCTTAGTGCCGCGGTATCAGACCATAAACGTTAGATATCAGATAAAGAAATGCAAACTTTGTCCTCGATCATGATGTCATGGCTACATTATTAAAAGTATAGGTCAGGGATATGAAGACAGGTATGACGTATTGCCAGACCTTAGAATGGCCAGAAAAAAAGAGAAAAAGCGTAAACGTGAAAGTAGCCAAGATCAGGATACCAGACATACGAAATACGGATTAACTAGCCAGGTCAGGATTACAGAGGTCAGAAGAGTAAGTAAATTAGCCAGACTCTAGCAATCAGAGAATGTATAAGGCACTATATCAGGACCCAAGAGGAAACCATGACAAGGCAAAAACTATGGGGCTGAAAATGAAATAAAACTTTATTTATACCCTAAAATGGACACAGATTGAGCCACGTCGCCCCTGTGAACCTCAAAAAGTGTGGGAATGGGGTTGCAGTGGTGACCCGACAATCCTAGAACCAGAAATGATGCGAGGCGGATTAAGTAGCCAGGTCAGGATACCAGACATACGAAATACGGATTAACTAGCCAGGTCAGGATACCAGTCATACAAAATACGGATTAACTAGCCAAGATCAGGATACCAGACATACGAAATACGGATTAACTAGCTAAGATCAGGATACCAGACATACGAAATACGGATTAACTAGCCAAGATCAGGATACCAGACATACGAAATACGGATTAACTAGCCAAGATCAGGATACCAGACATATGAAATACGGATTAACTAGCCAAAATCAGGATACCAGACATACGAAATACGGATTAACTAGCCAGGATACCAGACAAACGAAATACAGATTAACTAGTCAGGATACCAGACATACGAAATACGGATTAACTAGCTAAGATCAGGATACCAGACATACGAAATACGGATTAACTAGCCAAGATCAGGATACCAGACATATGAAATATGGATTAACTAGCCAAGATCAGGATACCAAACAAAGGAAATACGGATTAACTAGCCAAGATCAGGATACCAGACATACGAAATACGGATTAACTAGCTAAAATCAGGATACCAGACATACGAAATACGGATTAACTAGCCAAGATCAGGATACCAGACATACGAAATATGGATTAACTAGCCAAGATCAGGATACCAGACATGCGAAATACAGATTAACTAGCCAAGATCAGGATACCAGACCTACGAAATATGGATTAACTAGCCAGGTCAGGATTACAGAGGTCAGAAGAGTAAGTAAATTAGCCAGACTCTAACAATCAGAGAATGTATAAGGCACTATACGAGGACCCAAGAGGAAACCATGACAAGGCAAAAACTATGGGGCTGAAAATTAAATAAAACTTTATTTATACCCTAAAATGGACACAGATTGAGCCACGTCACCCCTGTGAACTTCAAAAAGTGTGGGAATGGGGTCGCAGTGGTGACCCGACAATCCTAGAACCAGAAATGATGCGAGGCATAAGAGAACTGAGAGTCATAGCTTCCCGATCTCTTCGCTCAATGCACGCAGGAATGCAGCAGTAACATGTGAATCGGATAAGTACCGTGTCACCTGATTTTTGCAGTGTTGTCTTGACTCTTTCTTTATGGTTTTAGGTGCTGTAGAGAGACAAGATACCCCTCATACATTCTCAGTGGTCTCCAGTGGCATTTCTCACTTTCTCACTACACCCATTGGCTGTGTATCAGATTCTGAACACCCTAATAGATAGGCCTGTGTATTAAGCTTCCTTCTAGGATTGACATTCTATAAAAGCTTTAGGTGGTGGAGTCAAGTGTCTTTAAATATGTTTTTTTTTTTTTTTGCTAAAATACATGTATCTATAGCCTAAAGTTGTTTAAAAGGACATGAAGTCTCATTGGGCCAATCCTTAAGTGCCTGGAGTCAAGTGGAAAAAGTTAAATTCCCCAGATAGAGTCTAGCGCCCCATTATCAGCAACTGTAGAATTGTGCAGTAAAGTAGATCAGTGACAGCCGATAGGTAGCTCTCACGTATGTTTTCAATCGGATATGATTTAGGGATCTCCAATAAAGTTGCTACCAATGTTGTAACCGATCAGCTAGTATACAAACTTGTAAATCAAATGATGAGGTTGGTTATTTCCTTGTAGTTAAATTCCCCTGGAAATCAGAGTTAATCCCCATCATTCAAACAGTAAACATTGGATACATGCTAAATCCTTGATTACAAAGTAAAATGATTTAGGTCTAATCTATTTCTCCTAGACGAAAAAAGAGGGTTGCACTCAATCAAATAAACCACAGGGTTTTTTATACCCCATAAAACAGATATTAAAAGGGAAAAAAACCTCAGGCGCTCACTGTGATAATTTCAGGCAGATTTAATGGACACAGCAACGTTTCGACCTGTTCCCAGGTCTTTATCAAGCTGTTGGATTTTTCATTTTTTTCCCTTTTATAATATATTTCTCCTAACCGATGCAGGTCCTCTTCTTTTAACTTAGAAATGATTTCTATCCAGTCCTTGCTGCTTTCATTCTATTAATTACAGATATTGGGAAATTAAATATGTGGTGACCAACTTTTTTTACACGGTCATACTTTTCAACATGGATTAAAATAAAATAATCCTTCAAAAAAATCCATCAACAAGTCTCTCTGCAGCCAGAACCCTGGTTATCTGATTATAACGGTTACTTTTGGCCACCAGAGCCAAGAAAGGCAAACAATATCTGCTTGTGTTTATTATTTTTATATGAATTTTATTGATTGCAGATGGAGAAAACAAGAAAAAGATGAAATGAAGGGCATGGCGTACACCTACACAATACTATACCTATATTTATAAGAAAATATAATAAAGGAGATGGCTATTTTTAGCAATTATCATCTTGTTATCTTGTCATGTCTGTGAATGATTGTTTGAGATAATGAATGTATTTTCTTTTAATCAGATGTATTGTCCAGCTATAGAGTAGATTGAATTACTCAAGCCAAGCCATATTTTTATTCTGTTTGTCTCCTGCTTGTTAAACCGTTTATCCCAGGATTCCCTTTGTAATTTCACTTCAGGACTGTAACAAAGCACCTTAATATTTAAAGCATTTTGTCACAAATGTCTTTGATCTCACCCAGTAGCCTACAATAAAGTAAGGCTTCAGGATGACTCACCAAAAACTAACAAAATAGGGGATGACAACAACCCATATAGTCTCAAAAATATCTGAACACACACCTTTCTCACTCAGGACGTGAGCAAATGTTTATCATGTTCTCATTGTTCCACTTCTTTATTATTATAACCCTTTGCTTATTGTCCTGAAGAGTGCCCAACTTACCCCTCTTCAGTCCATGATGAATACCTCTACCACCCTCAGCTGTCTATCCCGCAGCTGTCAAACCTCACACCTGTGTAAACCTTTACACTGACGTTCTGTTTCATGTAGGATTCGGTTCAAAATTCTTGTCCTTAGCTACAAAGCTCTCTATTGCTGTGTTCTTGTTTAGATCTCCTCCCTCATTAGCAGATATGTTCCAGACCGGCTAGTGCACTCTGCCAGAGACTTATTACTGTCCTGTTCTCCTACACGCACCACAGCTCTCATCTGCAGGACCTATCCAATGCTGGCCCCTCCTTACAGAATGCCCTCCTGAGCCATATTCAACTTTCCCCATTTCTTCAGTACTTCAAATAATAATTAAAAGCAAATTTCTTTAGAGAAGTCTCTTAGTTCACCCCTTAACTCAACATCCCTTACAACCTCCCTGTCTCTCTCCTGTCTCCCATCTACTGTGACCCCTCTTCCCAATCCTCTTTAGATCATTTGAAATTCTGGTATTTCCTCCCTCAAGTGTTGCTACTCCTGTGTCTGTCTCCCTCCAAGTCAACAGTGCTACCATCAGCTTCACCACGCAGGCTGGCTGCCTAGGTGTTCTCTTTGACTCCGACCTTTCCTTCATGCCTCATGTTCAGTCTATCGCCTGTCGTTTCCATCTCAAAAACATTGCGCGCATCCGACCCTACTTAAAGCCAGATGCGACTAAGGTGCTGGTCCATTCCACTGTCTTTTCTCGCCTTGACTACTGTAATCCGCTTCTCAGTGGTTTACGTGCTCCCAACTTGCGGCGTTACAGTCCATAATGAATGCTGCAGCGAGGCTCATCTTCTTGTCCGCCCGCACCTCCCATGCCTCACCCTTCTGTCAGTCCCTAAATTGGCTTCCTGTAAGGTATAGGGCTCAATTTAAAATTCTGGTTCTTGCTTTCAAATCTCTACATAATGCTGCTCCCACCTATCTATCCTCCCTAATAAACAAGTATGTCCCGTCTAGGCCCTTACGCTCTGCTGAAGACTTATGTCTATCTTCTGTCTGTACTCCCATCTCTGATGCTCGCCTTCAAGATTTCTCGAGGGCTGCACCGTTCCTGTGGAACTCACTTCCCTCCTCCGTTAGATGCTCACCCAGTCCCCACTTCTTCATAAAAGCGTATCAATTAAACTGTTAATAGCACCCAACTGATTCCTCTCTTGCAACTGTAATTAGTCTAATACTATCTAACCTTTTGTGTCACTTTACCCCACTCCCTCTAGCATTTAAGCTCATTGAGCAGGGCCCTCAACCCCACTGTTCCTGTGTGTCCAACTTGTCTCGTTACAACTACATGTCTGTTCGTCCACCCATTGTAAAGCGCTGTGGAATTTTATGGCGCAATATAAATAATAACATAATAATAATAATAATTTGCTTCCAGCACTTCCCTCTCTGTATCTGTCCCTTATCCTCTTCAATTGTAAGCCCTCTTCACTACTGTTCCCATGTGTCAAGTTTTGTCACAATTAATTTTGTCTTGGTTTATCTTCATTTATACAGTGCTGCAAAATATATTGGCACCATATAAATACTTCTTATTGTAATTGTATCGCTGCACTCCTCATTGTCTATTGGCTACCATATTTCACAACGTAGAACATTAATATGTAGTTACAGACCCTTCCATGAATCCATGTGTAGATAACTAATGTTTTGTTTGCAGGTATGCTTTGACAGGTGTATTCCTAATTTTCGATGACAAGTACCTTTGCCTTTGCTTATTCATAAAAAAAAAAATGTTAAATTCTTATAATAGCCAATAGGAGCATTTGGCTTTTTTTCAATTTTAATTCATTTAACTATTAAAAGGGAATACAAGCCCCCCTCCCTCCCCCACCCACACACACTTTCTCACCCCTCTTTCTACCTATCTACTTTACTTCTTCAAAGTCTTGACAGAATTAAACAGTGCAGTGTTTCCACATCTGACCTACACAAAACATCAAAACCATTAGCTTCTAGTGTTCAATTTGCAAGCAATTACTTATTCCGTTAGCAATTGGGATTATTTCCAAAAGAACACAGTAAAATTTCATGGTAGAGCAAGCCCATATCTCAAAGATGCTAACGCATTTGGTTCTAAAGACGCACCTGCATGTGCTGTTTAATCTTATTTAAGGGATCAATATTTCTTTTTTTTTCTTCTTTTTTTAACTTTCAAAAGGATAAAAGGTTTTTAGTGGCCCAGGGCTCTGTCATTTCATGAATTAAAAGATTCGTAGTTAAACCTTCCTGTTTATCCAATATGGAGATCATGGTTCCTTGTACGGAATTTAAAACAGCTTTGCAAGGCTCTTCCAAAACATGGCCGTTTTCCAGTGGTTTACAGATTATATTTTGTATTTTTGCACAATAAGATGGTGCTTAAAGTGGACTTGCTCTCAGCAACAGAACAAGTGGCAAGTCCCTCTTCAGGTAAGTAACACAATTGTCTTTATAAATTATACTGAACGTAGTTTCAGCACATTTGTAGGTCAGAATATATATGTATATAACCAACCTTTTTGGACATCACAATCAAATTACATAGCTGTAGTTTACAGCAGTCTAAGCCAATTCAACCTTAAATATAGAACAATATATAAACTATACATTTGCTAGCAATTTGCACTGAGCTCTTTATTAGTAAACCCTCCTGTACCGCATTTTCACAGAGAGCTTCTGATCATGCTGGGTGGCATGATACGAAGCCTTCAGTAACTCATGAACTTGTAGAGTTATAGGACACATTATAATGAGACAGTGCTGAGTAATTCTATTTTTATATATTAAGTACTGTATATGTACATATAGAGAGAGAGAGAGAGAGAGGGAAAGCACACCAGACAGGATCCAAGGTGCAGACTGTGCAAACACCTCCGGTACAAACCATAACATTGTAACTGCGTGCAGGGCCGGACTGGGAAAGAAATGGGCCCAGGCGTTTTTGAATCACAGCGGCCCACTTAGAGGGAGGCAGGGCCAGAGAGGGGGTGTTTTGTCATCACTAATGACAAGCTTGCCCCTTCTTCAATTCTCTTCCAGGGCAGCTTATACGCAGAGCCTTCTGAAGAGAAAAAAGCCCTGTATTTTTTTTTTGTTCATTAGCCCTCTCATAAGTCTTAGTAGCCCCCCTCCATGTGTCCTATTAGCCCGCAGCTCTCCATGTGTCCTATTAGTCCTCCCTCCCAGCCCTTCATGTGTCCTTATACCCCCCCAGCCCTCCATGCATCCCATTAACCCCCCCTCCTACCCCCTCCCAGCCCTGTATGTCTTTTTAGCCCTCCCATATGTCTCAGCAGCATCCCTACATGTGTCCCATGAGCAGGGCCGGCACGTCCATAAGGCGGCACAGGCGGCTGCCTTTGGGCACACTGGCCAGGGGGAGCAAATGTCCGGGTAGCCACCAGGAGGGAAGCGCACAGCGCCCCTCTCCTGCCGGTCACTTCATGTAGCGTGGCCGAGCGCCAACCTGCAGTGCCGCGGACTGTGTGGAGGGGGCTGGGATATGAACACATCATATCCCTGCTCCCTCTGTAGCACACAGAGCGACTGGCGCCCAGCAGGGGTGGAGCTACCGCCGGCCCCCTTCTAATCAGCATGGGAGGACTTCCTCCCAAGAAGACTACAGCAGAGAGCAGGAGAAGGCAGAGAGGATGGGGCCTAGGCAGGACCAGCTCCTCCAACTCCCAACTACCTCAGGCAGCACTTTGGATCCCAGGTAAGCCACCCTCCTGAACAAAGTAGGAAACAGGAGAGTGGCTAGAAAAGTATATAAAAGTGTGTGTGTGTGTGTGTGTCTGTATGTCTGTCAGTGTATCTGCGTGTATGTCTGTGTGTCAGTGTGCCTGTATGTCTGTCA